GCCGAGCCGCGCCGTTTCTAACTGCTAGGAAGGGCGCTTGGGATTTCGAGAGGAAATAAAGGGTGACGAATGGGAAATTCGGGGGATACTTTGTGTTTTTCTTTCGTGGTTGCTCTGCGTTCAAATTCACGCGTTGTGAGGAATACTCCGTAGCTGGAATTTCAATTGGAATTGATGTAGTGTGTTTGGGGCGAGAGAGTCTTGGGAAAGGAGGTATTCCTTGTTTTAATTAATTATGAACGTAATTACTCAATATATGGTTTTTCTTGCGAAAGTGCAGATTTTTAATTTTTGAGCGAAATGGACTGAATTTGATTAACAGAGGAGGGGATAATCTGCAATTATTTTAGAGTTAAATTTTAGTGCGAAGAGAAGACTGGTGTCTGCAAGAAAATTTCAAAAATTTTCCAATTACTCTTTAGATTGAATTGCAAATTTTAATAATTTATCCAATCTCACATTGATAAATTGTATTTTTAAAATGAACGATTGCATAGCTATCATGTTTCGATAAAATTTTCAGCGTGTGTATAATTGACATAGATCTACGAAACGTATTTTTTGAAATTTTCCTTACGAGCTCAGATAAAAAAGTTGTAAAAACGGCCTTCGCTATTTTCTTCGCGATCCCGACTAATTGCAGTTTTTTTTCATTTCAAAAAGATATTTACACGTCATCTAGTAAACTAATCTCTCTAACTTCTCAAAAAAAAAAAAAAACTCAAGTCGTTTGGCCCAATTTTTAAAAAGTTATTCCATTTTACAGGGTGTACGAATACTTTTTTCGGTCACTGTATCTCAATATTTTGTATCTTCTTCGCTAAAGCAGTGGATTGAAATATTCCAGCGTGCTACACTCGTGTTAAGAACGAATCCTCCCAAGAATAAACGTATAATTATTAACTATGAAATTAAACGAATAAAATTCCACCGTAAAAGTTTTAACGAGGCCATAAAAAATCAATGTATGAAACTGTTAACACTTTCAGCGTAAAGTTTGATGCACGAACCGTGGTAGAGAGAGCATCCTTTTGTTCCCTCGAAATGCCTATGGAAAGCGTTTCATCGTCGCTCTCCTCCCAGTATCTTCCACGTTCCCATCTCTTCCCCCGACTCGATCGAGTGAATTGTGGTTACATGGCGGCGTTATTAGCGGGGACCTGTTAATGAATTAATCTTATCTGAGAGGTTATTAAGCTGAGAAATGGGACGGCTGGATGCAGTTTATGGCGTGACATAATAATTTCTAAACCCCTGCATCTTCCAACGCGTTCTTTACATTCCGACAGGCGAACGGCGTGAACATTTTTCATCGACGCGCTCGTAACATCGAGTAAATTACCATCCAGCCAGCATTCGAGCAATTCTTGACTCGTTTATACCGCCAGGGAACAGTGGTAATTAAACACGAGGAAAGTGTCATAATCCAAAGAGGAAGAAAAATATTTCTTACAAGTTGCGAGATCTGTTTTTTGAAAAGAAACCTTTCTACAGTTGTAGACGTTATTTGCCAGAAAATGAACCCTTTGGAAACAGCTACGTCGGTATACTTTACTGTGAAATTTTTGAAAACGAAAAGTGTTGCTTTCGAAAGAAAAAATGATCAATGTTCGCGAATTTATTTATTTTCGTTTCTTTCACAATTCCAATAGAAAAATTCCTAAAATTACAATTTATTCCTATGGGTGGTGTGCATAAATTATATATGTAAATTTACACGAAAATGGATTAATATTTTGCAACAAAAATTAGCAAAAATATACAAATTTTTAATACATAATTTAACGAATTATTTTGAAAACTGTCTCTACGTTTGCACCATTTTTCTAAAGCTAATAATTCCCTAAAATATTTTCTGCACCCCAGACTTCAAGGCTGTTTTCAACTCTCCAAAGAAAATACACAGAAAAAGAACAAGCGTGAAATATATTTTTAAAAACTACACCATACATAAGTGTCCACTTGGAGGCTCTCCCTCGTTAGTCGAATCCCAGCCTAAATATAATACAACACATCAATTAACACAATTCGAGAGCTTGTCAAACTTGTCTCTGAAAATTGTTTCGAGAGCAATTGTTCCGAATTGCGGCGAAAAACGAAAATGGAAACATCCGCTCGAAGATTGAACCACGAAGCACAGTGGAATTTCTCCTAATGCCTGGGTCGACTGTCAACACTCCATAGTCATCCTCGTTTAACGTAACGCTAAGCAAATGTGAACAGGTTCCCCTCGCAGCTAGAGAACCCGCGGGACAATCTGTAGTCACACAATGTAGCCACCGTCAAACAGTCTCTAAATATAAGACGTGTCACAAAGATTGCATCAGCAGAATGATCTAATTTTGCCTCCATTTCTCCCTGTTCAAGGGTCGTTGACCTGGCACTTGGCAGTCGCGTACAAAATCCACCAAACCGTGACACTTGCTCTTTAATTCGCGTGAATCACCACAAGCTCCCTTTATTCGAACTTTATTCTCCAATTTTCCTCTTTTTCATTTTGAAAACTCGACAAACTTGCAGTCTACGTGTGCGTGTGTATATATAGCGACAGTTAGTTCTCTTCTTTTCTGTCTATGACAAATAGAAGGAAAAAAATAGGGAATCAAAAGTATCCTCGCACAGTCGGTGCAGAAATTTCCGGTTTGGTATTTTCGGATCGATTCGCGAGCAAACCCCTTTTCTCTCTCTCGAAAAGTCACCCTCGTGCTTGTGTCCCTCGTTCAATTTCACCGTTCGTGCACGGTCTGACAGAGACGAGTGCACTGTGTCCGACGAAACGGCGACAGAGAAGCGCGGATGGAACCGACAGAAGCTCCCGTGAACTCCGCGACACGAGCACCGAGAGAGGAAGAGAGAGATTTGGAGCTCTAGAGAGACAGAGGGATCTAGAGAAACAGAGAGATCTGGAGAGAGAGAGCTCGAGATCTAGAGAGACAGAGAGCTGGAGAGACGGAGAGCTGGAGAGACAGAGAGCTGGAGAGACAGAGAGCTGGAGCTCCAGATAGAGGGAGAGAACTGAACATCTGGAGAGACAGAGAGCTGGAGAGACAGAGCGCTGGAGAGACAAAGAGGAGAGCTGGAGAGACAGAGAGCTGGAGAGACGGAGAGCTGGAGAGACAGAGAGCTGGAGAGACAGAGCGCTGGAGAGACAGAGCGCTGGAGCTCTAGATAAAGGGAGAGAACTGAACATCTGGAGACAGAGAGAGCTAGAGCTCCAGATAAAGGGAGAGAACAGGAAATTTAGAGACAGAGAGAGCTGGAGATCTAGGTAAAGAGAGAGAACTGGAAATTTGCAGAGAGAGGGAGAGATTTGAAAATTTGGAGACAAGGAGGTCTACAGATCAACAAAGCGAACAAGAGAGATCCAAAGAGACAAACAGACATAGAAAGATATCGCGAGAGAAAGAACAAATGAGTGACTGCGAGAGAGAGAAGAAAGGAGGGAGACGACTTCGAAATGGATATTAATAGTCGTGCTCACGACGTGACAGCCCCGTTC